CTGGGGGGGACTCATATAATAATTACAAAATCCAGCATATATATCTCATTTGCTGTGTCATGCTGTGTCAGAATAATAATAATAATAATAATAATAATAATAATAATATTATTAATTCTATTAGTAATTCTATGTTCTGTCTCAGCAGAAGGGAGTTGGATTGGATGATCTTTGGGGGTCCCTTCCAACACTAGGAGTCTAATAATAATAATAATAATAATAATAATAATAAATTTATATTATTATATATTAGTTCATATATATATATATATATATAAATCATTTGCTATGACATACTCTGTTTTTATGTCAGTAGAATAATATATAATAAATATAATTACAATATTATAAATTTATTTTTTTTATTCAGATATTTATACCCCGCCCTTCTCAACCCTCTGGGGTGACTCATACAATAATTACAAAATCCAGCATATATATCTCATTTGCTGTGTCATGCTGTGTCAGTATAATAATAATAATAATAATAATAATATATTATTATTATTATTATTTTTATCATCATAATCATTTATTATTCATTATCTATTTGATTATTATTATTATTATTTGATAATAGATAATAATATAATAGTAATTCTATCTTCCTTTATGGCAGAAAGAAGCTGGACTGGATGGCCCTTGGGGTCCCTTTCAACTTTAGGAATCTAATAATAATAATAATAATAATAATAATAATAATAATGGATTGCTGTGAGTTTTCCGGGCTCAAGAAGCATTCTCTCCTGACGTTTCACCTACATCTGTGGCAGACATCCTCAGAGGTTGTGAATTCTATTGGAAACAAGGCAAGTGGGGTTCTTTCTCCCATCCTGGACATAATTCCACAGATACATAAACCCACTTGCCTAGTTTCCAACAGAGCTCACAACCTCTGAGGATGCCTGCCAAAGATGTGGGTGAAATGTCAGGAGAGAATGATGCTTCTGGAACATGGCCAGACAGCACGGAAAACTCACAGCAAGCCAGTGATTCCAGCCATGAAAGCCTTCGATAACATAATAATAATAATAATAATAATAATAATAATAGTAATAGTAATAACAACAACAACACATCACACAGTCCTAAATGCTTGGGCAGGGTTTGACTTGTGATTTTGTGATACAAAATCCAGCATATGTATCTCATTTGCTGTGTCATATTATGTTTTCGTGTCATAATAATAATAATAATGATAATAATGATAATAATAATAATAATAATAATAATAATAATAATAATAATAATGTAGTTCTATCTTCTGTCTCAGCAGAAGGGGGTTGGACTGGATGGCCTTTGGGAGCCCCTTCCCATTCCTATCACCCCATCATTCTTTAACTGACGTGATTCTCTAACCGAGCTCCCTTGCACACTTTCCCTTCCTTGAGGTCTACCCGAACCACAAAGAGGGGAAATCTGATTTATTTCAGGATGGTGAGAGGGAAAGAGAGGCTGCCCCACATCCTTCCCTTTGCGGCCGGGCCAAGTTCCTCTTTCTTCCCTTTGCACACTCTTGGTTTCGGACCCTGACCAAGCCCCGGTTGTGTCCACTCAGCAGCAGCAGGCCAAGCGCGTGGGCTATGAGATCACTCCCTTGGGCCAGACTGGGACCCTTTCATCCCCTTTAATTGCCCAGGCAGGTTTGCAAATGGGATGGCCATCTGTCAGGGAGGATTGGATTGTGTCCTTTCCCGATGGCAGAAGGGGATTGGAGTGGGTGACCGTTGAGGCCTCTTCCAACTCTAGGACTTTAATAACAATAATAG